CTACACGCAGATCCCGGGTGAGGGCCCGACGTTGGGACCATCCCCGGGTGGGGCTCCCCCTTTCCCACAGTGCGCGCAGGGCCCTGCATAGTCTTCTGGACCCACCTCGCGCTCCGGCCTTTTGGAGCAGACGTGAGCTCCAGGCCTAGGCGCAAGCGTGGGGGCGGTGGTTTGGCTATAGGAAGACGTGCTTTTCCCTTCAGCATAGGAGCAGAACCTTAGGGGGATTGGAGACAGATTTCCACCCGTACCTAGTGGGACAGGAGAGGGAATTGGGCTCTGCTGGGCCGGAGGTTCTGATCCAGACAGTGGGACAGGCATTCAGAATCTGGGGTGGATATCAATAGGTTCTGCCCTGGGGGAGCCTGGCCCTACCCGGGTTAGGGAGCATATGCTGACCATTCTAGAGTAGCGACCATCTGCAGGCTCTCCCTGGGGTGGGGGCATCTGCCTTCCCTGACTCGGGGTGAATTAAGTCTGGAAGGGCGGTGTCCAGGCCTGGCGCTGACATAACCTTCCCATAGGCTTGTATGGCCCGGAGGGCATCCTGCCTGCAAGGAGGATGCTGCGGCCACAGGGCAAGGGGCGCTGGCGACAGCTGTGGGAGACCCCAACGCTGCTATGGGAAGCACCGAGGCTGGGACTGGACACAGCCCAGGGCCTGGAGCTGCTGAGCCTGCTGGGCACGGTGCTGGCCCTGGGTCCCCTTGTCTTTCGCTCGCTGCGCCACCCCCTCACTTATCTGCTGCTCTGGGCTGCCTACCTGTCAGTCTGCCAGGCAAGTGGGACCCTTGTCGTTCCACCCCCACCCTACTACTTGCCTGCCACTCTCACCTCAGCGGCAGACACACCCTGCCCCAAGACAGCCCTTCTCCCCACAGGTGGGCCAGGTGTTCCTCTACTTCCAGTGGTGAGTGACTGTACAGTGCGGCTGCCTGTCTTTCCTGGAAGGCCCCCTGAGGGGAGCAGCTCTGCAGAGGAGGTTCCCGGTGCCGTTTCTTCTCCCACAGGGATTCCCTGCTGCTGGAGACAGGCTTCCTGGCTGTGCTGGTAGCCCCTTGGAGGCAGCCCTCCAGCCGAAAGCAGGCTCCCCAGGGCGGACTGGTGGGAGCCTCTGCCTACAAGAGCCTCCCCTTTTGGCTCGTGCGCTGGCTGCTCTTTCGCCTCATGTTTGCCTCGGGTGTGGTCAAGCTGACCAGCCGCTGCCCCGCATGGTGGGGACTCACTGGTGAGCGTCCTGGCCTGGACCCGGGGTGGCCTGGGGGCTCTGCACAGCCCTAACCACCCACCTGTGCCCTGAAGCCCTCACCTACCACTACGAGACGCAGTGTCTGCCCACACCCGCTGCCTGGCTTGCACACCACCTGCCCGTCTGGCTGCATAAGCTCAGTGTGGTGGCCACCTTCCTCATCGAGATTGCGGTGCCCCCTCTGTTCTTCGCCCCCGTTCGCCGCCTGCGCTTGACCGCCTTCTACACTCAGGTAGGAGGGGTGCAGGGCAGCCCTGGCAGACGAGTTGCTGCTACTGTCGGGGAAGCCTCGCAGGCACAGGGTGTGTTACTCAGGGTGAGCAGGTATGTGTCATGCAGCCGCACTGAGGGAAGTTTGTTTCTAGATTAGTGGGGCTAGGGAACAGCTCTCAGGAGCGTCTAGTACAAACCTTCCCCAGGTGCTACTACAAGTCCTGATCATCATCACCGGCAACTACAACTTCTTCAACTTGCTAACCCTGGTGCTCACCACCAGCCTCCTGGACGACCAGCATCTGGCTGCTGAGCCTGGCCTCTGCCACCCCAGGAAGATACCTACCTGTGAGTGTCAGGCTGCTTCCGACAGCCTGCTGCCCTCACATCGCTGTCCTCTAGGGTATCTTCTTCATTCCAGCACCCCTGAAAGAACGACACCCCAGCTCCCCCATCCCCTGGCTGTGGACCCTCTGCCAGCCTTTGACTGTCCTGCCCATAGCCTGGCCCAGGGCCCTGCTGACCAAGCTCTCCCTGCTACTGGAACTGGCCGTCTATGGGACACTGGCCTATGGCGCTGCGTACTGCTTTGGCCTGGAAGTTGACTGGCAGCAGCGTGTGGTCCACTCCAGAACCAGTGAGTGCCAGGTGGGGGCCCAGGAGGGGGGCTGGGCCACCCCTCCTCATGCCCCCCTCCCTCGGCAGCCTTCACCTTCCACCAGTTCTCCCAGTGGCTAAAGATGGTGACTCTGCCCACTGTGTGGCTGGGCGCAGCCTCCCTGACCTGGGAGCTGCTGGCTGCCCTCTGGAGGTACATGCTTGTGGCGGGAGGTGGGGGCCCGTTCCCAGGGCAGCCTGATCACACTTAGCCTTGTCCGCAGGTGGGTGCAGGTTCAGGGGTGGCTGCGAAAGTTCTGTGCCGCAATCCAGCTCTCTATCTTGGGCACTATCACAGTGGCCCTGTTTCTGATCAGCCTGGTGGGTAACACAACAGAGAGTGGGGCTGGAGGGGCCTGAAGGGCAGCACTGAACCTCCACCCGCCTGCCACAGGTGCCCTACTCCTACATGGAGCCTGGGACCCATGGGCTTCTCTGGACTGGGGCTCACCACCTCTTTGACACCGTGGAGCACCTGCAGCTGGCCAACTCATATGGCCTCTTCCGCCGAATGACTGGTCTGGGTGGGCGGCCTGAGGTGGTGCTGGAAGGCAGCTATGATGGACACCGCTGGACAGTGAGCCTCCTAGGGGATAGGGGTTATAGGGACCCAGGCCAGCCAGCCCAGCTGATCTGGGGTCCACCTGGCAGGAGATCGAGTTCATGTACAAGCCTGGAAATGTGAGCCGCCCACCCCCCTTCGTGGTGCCCCACCAGCCACGCCTGGACTGGCAAATGTGGTTTGCAGCCCTGGGCCCACACACACATAGTCCCTGGTTCACCAGCCTGGTGCTCCGCCTGCTGCAGGGCAAGGAGCCAGGTGAGAGCAGCAGGGAGGGCTGGAGAGGGGTGTGGAGCGCATGTTCTACAAGCAGTGCTGAGTCCCATCTGCCCTTGCAGTGGTCCGCCTGATCCAGAATGATGCTGCCCAGTACCCCTTTCACAAGCAGCCACCCACCTATGTCCGAGCCCAGCGCTACAAATACTGGTTCTCTGAGCCTGGGGAGCAGGGGTAAGGCTGGATGTGGGCAGGGAGCTGGGGCCAGGGCTTGGGCCAGGCACTGAGAATCCAATCCTGTTGCAGCCGGTGGTGGCGCCGCCAGTGGGTAGAGGAATTCTTCCCGCCTGTGGCCCTGGGGG